ATGTAGGCAGGGAGTCTGATGATTCGAGCCTTTTCGCGCCAAGGCTTTCACGCAGACTTGAAGCCCGATTCGGCTTTAGCTTCATGGCCAGGGTCCCATGCCAACGAGAGTCAACGGCCCCCATCAAAAGCACATCGGCGCTCGTGCTAGGGGGGGCTGCCGCTTGTCCTTCTGAGCAGCCCCCCACCTCTCCGCCTTCTCCAGTCTTTGGAGCGCTGCAGGCAGGAGCACGTTGCGCAGCGGTGCGTGCGGCGCCCGGCGCTTCTCTCCTCGTCTCCCCTGGATCTGCATGGCGGCTGGCGGTGCGGCTTTCTCTTATGTCAGACCTGTGTGGAGCTCAACTCCGCCACTCCTTCCAGTCCGAGAGGTTCTCGATAAGCAGCCGTGCGTCGAAGGCCTGGAGGCTCGCGTAGGAGGTCAAGACCCTCCTCCAGTAGCAGGCTGCTTTGGCCCTTGAGAGATGCTCTCTCGCGTAGTCTTGCCCCGCCTTTGCAATGGCATGTGCCTCGTTGTCGTGATCGAGAAGCCAGCGAAGTGTATCGGTCAGGTTCTGAGTGGTACATCGATCCCTTGAGATCGGCACGAAATGAACCCAGGGCTTGAGATCTTTGTAGAAGAACTCCTCGTACACCGAGTCCTGCTTCAAGACCACGGAGCCCATGAAGAGTAGCTTGAGAAGACGGTTGCTGGCAGCAGTTCCATCCAGATGCAGCAGGAATTTGTGTGCGGCCTTCAGGGCCATAGTTGCAGACTTCGGGTTTGTGTGGAGGGTTGTGGCACCCGACTAAAAGCATGCCTCCCACAGATAAGCAGGCATCTAGAATTTCGGAACCCGGAGGGCTCGAAAGCTGAGACCCTCGCATGCTCAGGCAAAGACACTGGCTGCACGTAGGTTTGCTCGGGGTATTTCTCCCGGACAAAGTTCGGCGCTCCCGTAAGGCCTACGTCAAGGACATGCTGCAGAGCGCCTTTGGCCAGCTCGGCATACCATCGCCGATACGAAAACGATGTCGACAAATCGTGCGAGGCTACGCAGGTCTCCGGGGGCCTGCTTGGCAAATGTTCCGTGAAAGCATTGGAAGATGCCCAATCGTGGCCCCGAAAGAAGGCCTTCGGTGAGCGAGTCTTCCAGGGATACTTCTCTTCAATCTTCCTCTGCCAGTCTAAAGACTCCCAAAGACCCAAATCCTGCTCGACATCGTTGGAGGAAACTCCACCGGACTCTTCATACCAGGTTTGTCCCGGAACCAGGATGTCCCAGTGGGCTCGAGTGGAGAGCGCTGACAACAATGGCAACGGGGGGGATCTTGATTTTTCCAGGTGTGCCTCGTCATGGACTGACAGGACGAAGAAAACATCTGGAAGAGGCCTCTCGTAAAGACGCAAAGACTGTTCAATCAGACGAAGGGTGGATCTTAGCCATCCTCCCAGATGAACGCCAGTTCTTCGAAGAAGCACCCGGCCCTCGATGATAGCAACTACTGCGAAATAGTACTCCCAACCATAGATTCTCTTGACAGACGCTGCAAGCTGGCTGACATTCTCAGAAGTGATGGGCCCATGCCCCGCGAGCGGCAAGAAGTCTTCCCAGATCCCAGCCTGTGCCCAGGGGCATCCGAAGGAGGCAGACAAGGAGAGGTCGCCGAGGCTGCAGAGGCCCATGGCGCAGTGAGGCCAGTGAGGCCAGTGAGGCCCAGGCCTCGAACCGAACGCCTGCTGTAGGAATTGCTCACACACTCGCACAGACACAGGAACGCTGATTCTCTTAAGCTAGAGTGCTCTCAAGGGATCGCCTCAGCCCCTGGCCCACTCCATGTGAGCAGGATAGGACAGGTCATGCCTTGCAGGAGGAAGGAGGGAAACCGACAGTTCGCACAACTTGGCTGCCTGCCTGCGTGTCATCGCCATGCGAATGCCCACGCGCCGGGGCCCGGAGAAAGGAAGGTCCTGCAGCACCTCTTGGAGAGACAAAAACGCAGATCAGAAGTGACCCGAAACGACGGTGCAGTAGCTCCAGTCTTCGATCCCTTCAAACCCGAGCTGCAGAAGACTTGGAAGGCAAAGATTCGGCCTCGGGGAGGAGCCAGACCTCCTTCTTCCGCCGGCGGAGCCTTGAGCCGTCTAAGCCAGGGCAATCGCCGAACCTGGCGACAGAAGGTATCGAAAAAGATTCTCCGTCCTACACCACCCCGGGACCGAACAACAACCCGACGGCAAGAACCATCACCTCAGCATCACCACAGCCACCATCCCTGCCATCACCAGCATGCCGCCTCCGCCCCACTCTGCCCCACTCCGCCCCGCTCCGCCCTCCTTCTTACGCTCTGAGGACGGGGCGCGTTGAGGAAGGCACGCTTCACGGCCAAGGCCTGGAGCTGGTGTTCGCGGGCATGCCGGGCTCCGGCCGGGAGAAACGAAGCGAAGCTGACAGAATTCCGTGTGATGCAAAAACAGCGCCTCGCGGCTGCTGAGAGGCGAGAGAACTTTGCTGTCGCCAGGGACGGCCTGCGACCAGTATCACAGTATCACTGCTACTGGCAACTGGCAACGGTACAGCTCCTCAGAAGCTATCCCAAATCACGACGCCTTCGCAACCTCAGAGTGCGCTGCCGTTTTCCGGAAGCGGGCCACGAAGAAGCCCTGACGAGCTGATGTGTGAGTGCTACTGTGCCCAAAGGACACCTTGGCTTTGGCGACTCACTAGGTTGCCATATGCTGCCATGACTCCCCAGACAAGCCCAAAGCTGCCCTCCGGAACCTGAAAGGAAGAAATCCAAGAACCGCTGATGCAACGGAAGGTTGTCACATCAGGCCAGCTTGAAGACTTTAGACATTCCAGGCTTGTGGGCGGTGGCTCACCTGCGTATCCGAGAGCTGCGGCCAGCATCTCAGGCATCCATCCACCGTCTGCATGGACTCTGTGCCTGTTGGGCTCACAACTCCAAGATCCAGTGAGGGGCAAATTCTCGTCCAGATAAACTAACCGCTCTGGTGCAGGCTGCTCAATGCGGCAATACGTGTCTCCTCGCAACATGCATGCTGGATTGCAATGGGGACGGCGATAGCTAAAGGGGATTCTGTGAAATTTGAGAGAGATCGCTCAAACGAAGGCTCGGGCCTGGCAGTCCGTCCAGGGGCAGCCGTTCCACGGCTCCCGGAAAAGACTCTTCCAGGAAGTGGCACCTGACGGAATCTTCCGCCAGACGACCCGCAACGTGGCTCACATTTTCAGGCTCTCGGTCGGGAACACATATACACTCTCTGGGCGCACGGCCCCCTTCCAGAGAAGTCAGGTTGCGGCTTTCCCACTCATCTCTACCCCGAAAAAGCACAGTTCCCTCAAATCCTTTTGCATGCTCGCTCCGGCAAGCTTAGCCCTCGCATAGGCCTTTTGAACAAACACCACATACAAAGCCGAGATGACCCGTACCCCTCAGATGAAGCACATTTCATGCAGGCCATGCCACACTTCCTCGTTCTCTTTAATGTTCAAGGTGCATGTGCCTGAGAAGACTTGGGTATCGCACGCTGGTTGGTCCAATTCGCATGCCTCAAGACCAGGTCTCTACCACATTCAGCGGCATGCTAGCACCTATCGCCTACTCTCAATCTAGCTCCTGCGCCGAACTTGGACGCAGTCGAGATACAAGTATTCAGGGGGACGCACAAGAAAGCATCAACCACCCACACAGACGAGGATTTCCTCTCAGTGCTCAAGCTGCGAGTGCTGCAGTCGCTCGGATGTTCTTCTCCCTGGCAACTTTTCTTTGGCCAGGGCGCTGTAGACCAGCACACCACCAACACGCAGCGCCTGGGTCAACATATTTTTAAGTCAGGATTCAGGTTGAGCTCATCGGCCAAAGAAGACCGAAGCTTCTATGAACCATCCTCAGGACAAGTATCAAGAACTGCTTCCATTTTGATTCTACAGCAACATATGCAAGACTCGCAAGCTTAAGTTCAGCTGGGGGAGAACCTGGGTCGCCACATTTCGTATTGAGATGTGGCCTGTATTCGTTCCCCGGTCGGAATGCGATGTTTGACGCAATTGTTGTCACGAAAACACAATCGAGTTTAGGGCGTGTTGACTTTCCCGCAGCTACAATCTTGCTCCCAATGTTGTCGGTGTTGCAACGAGCCCTTGCTGCTCGGGGATCAGAACCACCGTCGTCGTCGTGGCAGCTGGAAGAACCACTTTGGAAGGCTCACTCAACATACTGTGGCGCCTGGTAGGCAGACGAGATGAGCTGTCGTTGAAGTTTGGACCTCACGAGCGGCAGCTGCTGAGAGGTTGCGGGCTCGGGATGTCAAACGTTCCATGGTCCTGCTGACCCTGTAGAGCTCAACTTCTGCTCATTTCCGGCGAGGGACAGTCCTTCTATGTACGCCGGCGACTGATCCAATGACGAAGCAAAGTCTTCACCTCGGGGACTTCCAGCTCTTTCGAATTACAGCCATCTTCGTTGATGTACATGGTGCCCTGCACTTAGCACATGGACTTTTAACTCATCAGTGCCATGCGTTAAAGGATTGGGGACGAAAAACCGGCCCCACCTCGTCTGGTGAGCGACTCCCCCGAGCAAGGTGCATCAAGGAGGACCTAGGATGAAGTCGAGGTCTGGCTGAAGCTTGCGACAACTTTCGCTCCTTTCGGATTTCAGGTGCCGTCTCGAGACCATCCTGAGCTTTTCAACAACCTCAACCAAGCCTTAATGGCAGAAGCTGCATACCGGGCTACGGCATCGAAGGCCTCGGGCCAAGCCTTGCCACAGCTGCGCCCATCCATCTGGGTGACGGCGGCCTCGGTTTGTGGCTCTGAGACGTGACCATGGGATCACTCCTGGCAACACTCCTGTCGCCAACATCGAAGAGACATCTGCACCTCAGCTTCAACGTCATCAACAGAATCCATGCCATCATCCATGTCGGCAACAGTATCACCGCCTGCACCAGCAGATTCGCCATCAACATCGTCGGCCCCAGCTTCAGCATGCAAAGGATCGCGAGTTGCGGAAAATGGTGGAAGCTTCAGAGGGCGTGGGCTCGGAGATGCAGACTTCTTCCTTGCTGCAAAGCTTTCCGAGCAAGCTTCACCTTCATCTCAGAAACCGGACGAAGAACCTCTAAAACCCAAAAGGCGGCTTAGCAGCCCAGGGCATCGAACCGGTGCGGAGCAGGTTCTCCACCAGCGCCTCACAGGTGAGTCCGAGTGTCTGTGCGTTTTGTGCCTGCTATACTTGTGTGGCGTGCCTTTTGCTCGCAATCTCAGGTCTCAGGCCATCGGGCCTTGCAGCGGTCGATGTTCGGCTCGTTCGCCACCACTGCGCCGCTGCTCGGTGCTAGCCAGGCGGCGATAGCCTCATCCGCGCTCATTTCCGTTTTGCGTGTTTTTTGCGATGGCAGTTGATATCTATTCGTTTTGCGGAGTCATGAATGGCAAATGACAATACAACTCATGCCTCGGATGATAGGACTATCGGCCTACAGGAAGTGAGAATTCGTTGCTGGCATTCTTTTCACCATTCATGCTGGTTGTCTAATTGTCTCCTCATTGTGAATCGGGTCTTGCAGTGACTGATTTGCGATTTTACACGCAAGCAAGGACCCAATGGGCTCTTGCCTCTACCAGCGGCTCAAAGTTTCCTCTTGGAACTGAAGACCTAAGCTGCTAAGCTGCTTATTGTCAGACTTGTCTAAACGCCATTAAACGCCACTTCCATCGAGCTCTGCGCCCCAGCTGCCACTCCCGAAAGAGGCTCTATCAACATCCGGACCATGCTTTTCCTCATCCAATCACACCCATGTGTGTTCGGGTGTGCATGCATGCATGCATGCGTGCGTCTGTGTGTGTGAGTGTGTGTGAGTGTGTGTGTGTGTGTGTGTGTGTGCGTATACATGTGTGTAAGTGTGTATATATATATATATATACATGCAAGCATGCATGCACATGCTCCCCCCCCGGCCCCAAGGATCCACCATTTCCCCTCTCAATGGACCTATCACGCAGCCTGCACTGCACCGTCCGGGCCGATGCAGGATTGTGCATGTATAAGGACGCCGAGCAGGAATGCGTTTCGAGAAGACATACAAAGCCTCAAGTACGTGCAATGACAGCATTTCCCCGAATAGGCATTCGACGCCCGACTGCAAGGGCAAACAGGGATAACACCTGCTATGTCGTGTTCGAACAGCAGTCACATGTGTTATTGCTTCTGTTAGTTTGAACATGCATCAGTAGTAGATCAGTATGGGTTGAAAAGTTCACCTGCGTTCTTGCTTCTGTTGAAAGTGATGTGCAGCTGATACTGGATCAAAGTGTGCTCAATATTTCATAAAGCTTTGTCTCATAGAACATATTCATGAACATCAAAGCCTTCAACAAACAGTGGGATAGCTAGCTTGTTGCAGTCTTACACATCATAAACAATCAGCAACTAAGTCATACTTCATGCTTATACAGGTAGTAGCTGACGCGTTTTCATCGCATTCATGGGGGGCTCAAAAACCACTTCGAGCCGGTGAACCAAGGACTCACTAGTGAATAAAATGCTGTGTACAGAACGACAAAAAGGCGCGTCCGAACCTGGCTTACACAAGTAGACACTTTGTCAAACAGTAACAACGAAGGAATCTAGTTTAACTTACAACAATATGTTAAACAAACAATGGTTTAAAACCAGCTCTTGTGCTCGAATGTCAATGAGCAAGCGTGTATTGCTAAATTTCAGAAAGCTCTGCAGTTCATCGTAATGGAATTGTAATTATGTGAGATAGTAAGATTTGTATAAACATCACAGGTTAAATCAATATAACTTGAAGGCTCATTGAAGGCTAACTGAAATCTTATCCGTTTTGTTAGACGGGGAAGAAGACGTAAAAAGCGCAAAGCTGGACGTCACTTCTTGAACGAATATGTACATAAGACTTAGTCACAAATTTTGTGAACGTGGCACACAGCCTAAAACCTATGTGAGTTACATGCTAGGCATATATTCGTCCAATATGGGGGCATTCAACTAAATATGGACTCGTTCAAAAAGGAGCGCACAGTAGTCAAACCCGAAGAGTACTTCAAAAAAAAATAGTGTACAGTCTCAACACATATCGTAGAGGCAGCTTGAAGAGTATCTTAACTTTAACGGGTTCTGATGGAACTATCAACCCTACACTACATATTGATGAACATTGTTTTCGACATCTGTTACAGGTGACTCAATATGCACTGACCACCCATACTAGGTGCATTAGCAATGCCAACTACATTTTTGATATGTACAAGTGGGTGCATACATACATACGTACATACATATGTATATATATATATATATACATATACTTAGATAGAGATACATGTATATTAGATAGAGATACATGTATACACATACATAGTATATGTCATATAAATGTGTGTATATATATATATATACAGACAGATAGATAGATCGATAGATAGATAGAAAAAATAAACACAGAAATATGATGTACATATACATGTAAATAATGCATACATGTAGATATATATATATATATACATCTGCAACTACATATACATATCATACATATCAAATACATACATACATGTGTTTATGTGTGTGTTTGTATGTATTTTATATGTATATACACGTTTGAAGGTACGTGTGAAGCAGTTACTAGCCGAATGCTGATCTGATTTCCCGTTCTTGTTGAGCTAGCGGCTATGTATGACCCAATACCGAGCATGAATCAAGTAAGTAGGAACCGAGGTTGAGCATGTCATAGTATGAATACAAACAAAAACCAGAATAAGAATAACAACAACAAGAATAACAACGATAACAGTAGCACTGCATTGAACATTAAACTACGACATTGACATGCCGACCACGTAGTCTTTTTGAAACTTAGTACTCTCTAATCGAACGTCAGTCAGTACTTTCAGCATCACCACGCTTTGTGAGAATCACAGTGTCAGCGGTCGAGCATGGGGTGCTGTGAGTCACGATAGACGTCCAGGCGGTCTGGTGATTTATTGTTGGGCTTTCGGGCTGTCCTCACCACGATTGAAAGGAAGCGGAGAGGACAGCACCAACAAGTTCACTGTTTTTGTGCATCTCCGAACCTGCAGCTTCCCCTTGCATCCTACCTTTTTGCGTTGACGCGCATATCCCCTGCTTTAGTGCCTGTGGGAGCTTTTTAGCTAGAGATATTCTACAAAGATCGAAAAGCCGAAGTTTTCGCCAACGACAAAACTGCCAGCGAAGTCTCTCCGGCGCTGAAGCTTACCTGTTAGAGGATCCTCTAGAGCACCGGGGTGCTTTTCACGAGGCGCACGAGGACATGAGGACAAGCCCAATGCCCAGGTAGGGTCTGTTGGGCGAGGTGGGAAAGTCACTCGATCAGCCTATTTGCACGATCCGCCAGAGCGGCGTTACCAGCTTCCCACGGGGACAAGCCCAACGATGAGCTGCATCCCTTGGACTTGAATTGAAGTCTGCCTTTGCCAATCATTCGAGCCTTCAGAACCTCAGCTCCTATCTTTCCGAAGCCTGTGACGATCGCGGCAGCTGCATCTGCCAAATCCTTCAGTCTTTGGCATCTGCACCGAAAATCCGTGTGACTCGCGGTGCAAATACGGATCTCGCAAAGCCGGTTTTGGCACCGTATTTGTGGAGCATGCAGCTTCCACCTTTCATATGGCAAGCTTTCGCTCTGCGTGTCCATTTTTTAATGGCCTTCGTCTTTAGGCTTTCGGTGCCGCCAGGGCTTGGCCGAAGCCCCCGACTCAAGAACCCGTCTCGAACCACCCTTGAAGGCCCGATCCAGTTTGTGGATTCGGCGGTTTAAATAGGGGTTCAGGGCAAGGGGTTGGGTTTTAGAGTTCGGGGTTTGGGGGGTTTAAGCAGTTGAGTTCAAGGTTCAGGCTTGGGGTTTTGAGGAGCGTTCAAAGTTGTGGCTTGCGGGGGTTTTGGGTGTTCTTAATTTAGGGGTTTTACATATGGAGCCGATGAAGGCGGCTGTGCGGGCAAATGCAGCTGCTACGACCGGCACAGGTTTCGGGAAGATAGGGGCTGATAGGTTCTGAAGGCTCGAATGATTCGCAAACTGACTTCAAACCCCTGAATCAACCGGAAAATTGCCAATCCAGATTTTTTGAAACATAACGTCTCCCATGGTGAAATAGGGCTGAAGGGGTAGTGATTCTGCTGGCCAATATCAGTCTTCGAATGCCTTGCATACTGATTAAACGACCTAAGCACCATACGAGTCGTCAAATTACGCTACATCCTCCACAACAAACATTCTTTCAAAGCTTAGGGGCATCTGACCCCCAATGTGTCCACCTTTTGGGCCTCAGGTTCGGGTGGTCGCGAGCAGCATGAGACAGTCTGTCTTAACGGGCCGTGGGTTGGGGTGCAGGGCTAGGGAAGGCTCAATAGAGAAAAACGCTTGCCTTTCCGTCCTAACTGAAAAACCTAACCGAAAATAGTGAAATAAAACCTCAAAGACCTCAAATTGCCTTGTCACAGGCCTCGCACTGAAGAGTTCCAGAATTTGAGCGTTTTTGTTCGTTTAGGTTTTTCGGTGACTCATTTTCGTCTAGGTTTTTCTCAATCCACTTTGTAAAGGCTTCCGTACACCTTTGCCCTTAACCCAGGATCCTTAAAGACAAACAGCGTACCTGTGGCTGGGTTTTTCGGTTCAGCTTATCCTCAATTACGCTTCCAATGGCTTCCCTAAGCCCTATAGCCTAACACGTAGCCCTGGAAGACAAGCTGTTCGTCCATGAGGCCAGAAAGGTTGGATCCATGTTGTGGGGACACCATAAATAGATATGTATGTATGTATACATACACATATGTATATATATATATATATATTCATTCATTCATTCATACATTCTTCTTCCGGACGCAGCGAGGAGTTTGATCTCGCCTAGCGAATTCATTCATACATACATACATACATATCTCTCTGTGTACATGTATGTATGCAAGTAAACAAATAGACGTGGATAGGTGGATAGGTGGGCAACTACAACTACCACGACTGGCTTTTTGCAAATAGGTAGATGCCTAGCTGGGTAGCTAATGGATAGATAGATTGATAAACAGACAGATGGACAGATAGCTTTGCATGTGTGCTTCTGTACTCACGCGTGTCTCCCCATGTATATTTATGTTCGTACTCTTGTCTCTTTATTTGGTCGTTTGAGCTACCGCGACGGTCCTCACCTTATGAAGTGGACCTACGTTTGAGTTTATGTCACCGCCGTACACGTGAATGAACGAAAAAACAAACGGATTTCTAAATGCAAGTAGAGTGGGCGATAGAGATCTGGAACGAAATAAAAAAGTGGATATGCATACACGTGCTTCGTCTGCCAGGCATGTACGCCGCGAGGGACGCACACTCACATAGAGATACAGACAGATGGACAGACAGATAGATAGGTCAATGGAGAGGCAGGTATTCGAATAGTCTGAGTAGCAGACTCAAGTAAATGCCTGGCTTGATTGATCGGCCAACTCTATGGCCGGTTGACTAGTGCCAGGGAGCGGCTTGGCGCAAGGGTCAGGCCCTAACCTGACCCAACCCTGCTTTCACGCTGAGTGGGGACTTGGGCCAGGAAGAGGGGCCAAAAGCCATCAAGAACACAAATTGCACCAGCTGCTCCGGACGAACACAGGTGGTCTTTCGAAGCGTGCCTCCGCCTACTGTTGAGCAAGATGTGAAAGTATACAGACGGCGACAAACGAAGTGCAAGCAAGCGTATGTCCTCACTTCTGAAGGTAATGCAATGCGAAGCAAGCAGATTCGGCGATCCGAGGAGTGTGCACACATGCGCAAACAAGATGAGTTGAGGCCGAGCAAAGCGGCAGGACTCTAATGTCAAAGAGTCAAAGCAGCGAGGGCAGAGAGGGAGGTGACATCGACAGGGTGGTTTGTCGACATCGGCCGACGGCAGAGCTGCTGAAAGAGGTGTGACCGGATGGCCAAATCCGGATAGTAAACCATGGAGATAAACAGGCTTGAGAGTTTAGAAACATGGATGACATAGATGAACTGGATAGTTTGTGACGGACAAAATCCGCACGGACTGACAGCCAAGTGACAGGGAAGTAGATGAGAGGATTTAAATCAAGTACATAGTTTACAGGCACAGAGGTCCCTGCACTCGTCTTCCCACCCGGGGCGGCCGCAAGGTCCAGGACACGGAAACTGCAGCAAGCGGCAAGCGTTTCTCTTCTCTTCCACTTTGGCTAAGGGCAAGGCTACAGTGCTTGGAGCTTCAAAGCTTCGCCGCAAGTAAACAGCAGAAAGTGTTGCCGCCATACGCACTTCGTTGCAAGAGCAATCAGATGGCCTTGCCGGCGGGGTGTCCCCCACTGCGTCGCGCAGTGCTGCTACGGGCAGCAGGGACGATGCCTAGAAAGTCGCAGGAGACAATCGACAAATCTCGCGGCTTACGAAGCACCTCCTGCACGTAGACTCGGCCAAGCAGGGCTGCACCATCCTGCCGGTGCCCCGGTGCCGACGGCAGCTAACCGGTGACAAAGTGCGCTGACCCTGTGCCAAGTTGTGAAACCCACCTTGGACCAGCTGACAGTACTTGGCGCGTGGGGGCGTGCAGCATCAGCCTGGCAAAAATATCCTGCACAAAGCTCTCAGACCAGCGCGACTGAACCGGGCAAACAACTCTACCTCGGGCCCAACTGCAGATTGACTTCTGTCAAATGTCTGAGCGCAAGGACCATGCCCGCGGCCTCTGCTGTGAGCCGTCGCTTCCCCTTCTTTGGCGCCTTCGATACACTTGTCCTACATGCCCCTTGCCAGTACATCGCGCCTCTGATGAGGACGAGCATGAGACTGATTCCGCAGTGCTGATGGTGACTGACGCCACAAGTGATGCTGGTGATGCTGCTGATGATCAAGATGAGGTTCAGGTGAACGAGAAGCAGGAGGTGGAGGATGTGGAGGCATCGTCATCATCATTAACATAATCATCTATATCATCAATATCAACAATATCATCATCATTATCACCAGCCTCGAAACGACTCACCCCATCGCCATCCACGTCGTCATCTAGCCACCACCACCACCACCATCATCAGCAGCAGCATCATGACTACCATCACCACCATCAGCATCATCACCATGATGCTGATCATGATCTTGCACCCACAGGCATCGTCATGGGCCATGGGCGCGGACATTTTCCGCTTCTCTATTGAACCTTTTGCTCTTGCTCTTTTCACCAATGCCACCGTTTCTCGTCTTGGAATGTGTTTCCCCCGAGCCTTTTTGGCTGCAAGCTTCGCCCAGGCAGAAGGCAGCTCCTGCCAAGCTGTAAGGAATTGAATACTTATACTAAACTGCAAGCTGTGACCGCGAGGGACGACACGTTACAGGTTTTTGGGAACCATTTCCAACTCTTCGATAATGAACCTGCCGATGCAGTTGGCATCGAACCTGCTGCACACTTTGCCTCCTTCTCTTCTTCGAATGAGAAAACATTGGGCTTCAAGGGCCTTGGAGTGCAAGCTGAACAGGGCTCAGTGCTGCTCTTCTGGATCCACATGCACGTGCTGCCCTCTCTGGTCAGTCATGCGATCTCACCCCCATACGACGATGACCTATGTCAACGTGCATAACGGCTTCAGCCAAGGTCGCTGGACCCAGTAGCCATCAGCAGCCCAGGGCACAGGGTCTGCAGGGCGGCAGGTTTGGACCGAAGAATCTCGTTTAAATGCTCTTGGGGGAGGCGAAAGGTGCCTGCGAGCCGCCAAGCATTCGCGGCTCCCAGGCACCGGACACCTTAGCGGCCGGAGACAAGGAAAAAGCAACCAAAGCAAAGGCATTGACGAGACTGCCGTGTGACGCTGGATGATGTGCCGCTGCAAAAAGTTTAAACCAAAGCTCCGAGGTCGAAAGCCGCACTGACAGGGTCCTAATGAGGTGCCCGAATGTTGCACAGGGACAAGAAGAGGGCCCTTTTCCATCATCTGCCAAGCAACTTCGGACGTCGCCACCTTTCAGAGGATTCCTGTGTCAGCTTGCTCTCTGACAGTTTATGCCCTTCTGTGGGGTTTTACTACAATTACATGTGGATATTCCAAATAGCCAGCGACGAAACCGGAAGACTTTCGCCCATAATCTCCACCAGAAATACCTGAATCCTTTGTTATGTCCTCAAGCCTTGATTCAACCCCTCAATCTGGAACCACTCAAACAATCACGAATCTCATAAAGCTTTAGAAGCCGTGCGGCAAGCGCACGCACGGCCGCACTGGCCGCTGCGACGCTTGCACGAACTCCTGCAATTGCAGCAAATGGCAGCAAATTGACAGAACTCTCCACTATGGCGGACCTGATTGCAGAATCGGCACGCAGCGTCTGCATTTGCAGTGTCATTAAGCTGGCATGACTGGCAATTGTTGCACGATGCTCCTCCTGTCTTTTCACTCTGCGCCTAGGCCGCTTAAAGGTGCCCTCCTCCCACGAGAAGTTCTCCGGCAGCACTGAAAATTGCGCCGTGAAGGAGGAGGGAACCTTGCGAGCTGAAGGCACATGCGGCAAAGGCTGACTAACACACGCCACCACGAAGCCAATCCCCACCGAACCTCCACAGGGGCTCGTGGCAGCGCAAAGCCCGGCGATGCGTGCCAGGAAGAGGCTGGACAGGCCAGAAGAAGACTTTGCTTTGTCCCGCAAACGTATACTTGCAGCCGTGTGTCCACCCTTCCTTCCTTCAATGCTGCTTTTGGGCGACTGTGCTACTCTGCAGCCGGGGTGGCACCTGTCAAAAGGACGCCACCGCATGCCAACGGGAAGGCACGCCGGCGCTTCATGGCCACAAAGAACCCGTGCAGGGCCCCTGAAAGTACAGAAGCGTCGGAAATTTGTCGCTCCCAATATGACTTCGAGGATCTTCGGGGAAAGTTGCGGGGTCTATATGGTTTAGGCTGTGCTTGGGACTGGAGGTTTCGTTCTGGGCTTCCAACCTCACAGGCCACGGAGGCCTTTTCACTATTCGCTGAACCAGCAAAATCGACGTCATGAGCCTTGCAAGCTTGGGGAAACTATCTTGAAGATTGCTCGAACATCTACCTCTACAATTTCGATACCACAGCTCCCAGCCGAGCACTGCGGCTGAAGGCAATTCGACAGACTAAAAACAGGATCCTTAGTTAATTCTACATTGAATACAATATACGAATATATACTATGTATACTATATATACTATTTATACACAATATATACTATTTATACACAATATAAACTATATATACACTAATATACTGTATAGACACTATACATACTATATATACACTATATATACTATATATACACTGTATATACTCTATATATATATATATATATTAATATACTATTTAAATACACTATATGTACTATTTATACTATATATACTATATATACTATATATACTACTATATATACTATATATACTATATATACTATATATACTATATATACTATATATACTATATATACTATATATATACTATATATACTATATATACTATATATATATATACTATAATATAACTATATATACTATATATACTATAAAAACATATATATACTATATATACTATATATACTATATATACTATATATACTATATATACTATATACTATATATACTATATATACTATATATATACTATATATACTACATATATATATATTATATATATATACTATATATACTATATATATATATATAGATTAATAATATACTATATATATACTAATTAATAGAATATATATATACTATATAATATATCTACTATATATACTATATATATATATATACTATATATATTACTATATATACACTATATCCTATATATATACTATATATTATACTATATATATAATATATTATATATTAATCATATATACTATATATATATATACTATATATCTAGATACTAATATAGTATATATACTCATAAATATAACATATATATATAATTATACTATATTACTATATATTACTTATTATAGCTATATTAGACCATATTATATAAATATACTAATAATAGATAGTATATATACAATATATACTGTATATACTATATATACTTTATATACTATATATACTATATATACTATATATCCTGCATATATATATATACATATATATATATATATATTATATACTGTATTATAAACTTTCTAAACTACATATACTATATATACTATAGATACTATATGTATTAAATTTACTATACATATTTTATAAAATCTATATAACGTATCAATATATACTATATATACCATATATATAGACTGTATATACTATGTATATACTATATATATATATATATATACTATATATATATATATATATATACTATATATATATATACTATATATATATACTATATATATATATATATATATATATATATAGTATTTATATACTATAAATCGAAATAAGGATTAAGTCAGAAAGACGGTATCCAGTAATGAACCCTCGCACGAGTGAGACTTTTTGCTTTACTCTGCTAAAGGGTGCTTGAGCCAAACGGTTTTCGTTTAGCAAACGTTCACTGCCAGACGTACCCTACTCTCTACGGCAACTTCTGTTACATGTGAGAAGCAGATAGACAAGCTCATGAACACATGCACTCATGGAACGAGGGAGTCTACCTAGAAGAGTCTCCTCGGAGCGTTGCCGCTTCTCGAGGAAACCACCTGGCATCAAAAGTACAACAGGCCAGTTTAGCCCATTATTCTTCTACTCCCCCTTCTCACGAGGTGCATGAGGCTCCTAATTAAGTGAAACGGTCATGGAGGAGCGAATCAAAGCCGCTGCATCTTCAAAAGTTGGAGCGCTGCGGGAAACTTGACCGGTGGAAGGGCCTTCGTGAAGATGTCTGCACACTGTTTGTCTGTGGCTATGTAGCCAAGGTTGGTATGCGGGTCTTCGAAGACTTCGTACAGTAAGGAAAGATTTATCCGATGAGTTTTACTCACGTGTCTCAGCTTTGCGCTGTATCCGCTCTGCACTATCTGAATCACGGCAGAATTATCTTGGTAACAGTGAAGGTCAACTTCGCGTTTGAACACGAGTTCTGCCAGTTCCTGCATAAGCATTGCTTTGTTTTAAAAGGCCAGAGGCAAGCGAGATTATTTCTGCTTCTGTCGTGCTCCGTGACGTTGCCGTCTGCTTCTTGCTCGCCCAAGAAAGGGGCCACCATGAGTTAGGGCCCTCCAGGACAAGAAGTGACCCCGATGTGCTTTTGGCGTGCTCTATCTCTGATGAATGATCCGCATCAGTATAGAGACCCAACCTTAGGTCATCCATACTGTCGGCGATTTTACATGTCAGACTGAGCTTTGGGGTGGAATGCAGGTAACACATTAGCTTGTACAGCTTCTTGTCATCTGCAAGACTCCAGCAGGTCACTTTCCGCGTCAAGTCTGATATGGGCTTCATCAAATCTGGTCTTGCCAAACGTGCACACCACAGGATTTTCATCAGGATTTTGCTGACAGCTTCCGCTAGAAGTCCTTTTTCTTCGAACTCAGAAACCGGAATGTTTGAGTCGAAGGGCGTAGCCGCCGCTTTCAACTTCTTCCCGGACAACTGTTCGTAGAGTTCGCAGCAATTCTGGCAAAAATCACTCATGTCATGTTGGAGGGTGGTAGAATCAGCATCATGGGAGAGCAAGTGCTTCCTTCCCAAGACCCTGTCCACTGGAGATGGTTCTTCAATCTCCAGTTGCTTTTGCAGCAGGTCCCAAAACCGAGTATGATTCTTATCATCACCGCTAAGCAGGATATCATCTACGTACAGGCTGAGAAGCAGACCTAGCTCTTCAAACCAATACGTGGATTGCTGATTGTCCACATGTTTGCCTCCTAACATATGCATGACTTGTTTAAACCTGTAGTCCCAATGGTATCCGGATTCTGGGTGTCCGTACAAGGACTTCTGCAAACGAACGCATGGTCGTCTGACCCCCTTGAACTCCGGTGGGGTGAGCTCTGGTGGGAGCTCAACCCAAGTGGGAACTTTGGTCTGCAGATACGACTGCGTGTATGCTCTCACTACGTCAGATTGAGTAGTTTTGTGTCCCTTTAGGGCGCCGTATGCAAGGTTGAAGTTTATACCCGTTAGGCCTGACGGATTCACCTTCAATTCCTGAAGCACGGCCAGGTTGTTGTTTTCGTCTCTTATATCGTCACCTCTAAACACGATTCTAGCTTTCAGTTTGCGAAGTTCTGGGGTCTCCCAATGCTTGATAGATAAGATTGTCATTACGCGGCCGATGTTTAGTGGAGTCTTGCTCCTCATCAGTTCCTCACGCGAAACAACCTCGTCGTACGACCAGGTGTCGTTTGACAAGAGCCCGGAGGCTTCTTTGTCAATTGCTTCCTGAGCGCCTGGATGTTTGTGCCAATCCTTCCTATCGATAAGCATATGAACTCCTGCTAAAATCTCTTGCTGTTCTGAAGAGAGCTCGTTGGAAAAATGCTCTGCAGTAGCTGCGGGTGCGGGTACAGTAGGCATGCAAGGAACATGGGCATCCAGCTTGTGACTATACAAGCTTTGTGCTATGCATCTGGCCATGCTTTCTGGGTAGAGGGCAGAGCTAGAAGCTATCTTGCCCGAGATCTCTGCATGCTTGAAACCTGACTCGTGGCAGCAGCGCTTTGCAGACAAGTTTTGTGCAAGCTTGAAGGAAGACGTAACTATTCTCCAAGACTTCTTCAACGGCTCTCCAAGGTGATTTTCCATGCCGAAAGCGCAGCCATTTGTAATCACTTCATACAGACCGTGACGGGCTATGAATTCCAATAGCAATGGTGTTTTCCAACCACTACAGTTCTTAGGCCACTCAAAGCTAACCGTACCCCCTTGACTTAGGACTTGCTCTGCAACCTTGATGAAGTTTTTCAACATTCTGATGCTTAAGCGCCTTTGGCCCTTCAGCTTCTTTCTGGAGCCGGGCTTGTCAAGGTTTTGGCTAGGGTGCTGCAAACACTTCCAAGGGGAGTTAGGAACGCTGCCCCAAAGATCACAACCTGGAAACTGAGCAACAAGCTCTCGCAATGATTCGCCTTGAACTGGGTCTGCCATGTTTGAATTCTTTGCCGTCATTCTGAAGTGATTGATGCCTAAACTCTCGTTCACTTGACCTAGCATGGATTTTGGGTCGCAGCAGAACTCGAACATCGTTTCCGAACCATTTCCCTTCGAAACACTCTTTCTTGGTGGTGCCTTTTGAGCGGCATCGCACACCTGTTGAGAAAGGGCCTTCAAAGCTTCTGGGTCCTCGGAAACGGACGACATGCAGTGAGCAATCGAAGCGACAGCGTCGATACCTTTTGGTAGAGGCTTCAAGCGCTTCTGCTGGTCTGCGGCGTTCGAATTGGCTGCTCTAAGCTCCGCTTCTTCGGGTCTCAGCGGTTGTTTGGGGAAAAACCAAGTCACACCAGTCCAGCTTTTTGAGGAGATTCTACGGTTTGGACTGCCCTTTTGCCAATTGTCTTCGTAGACAGAAACTTTCCCCCTACATTTCCACTGCGTCTCACGGCTTTCTGAAACCGTGTACATGTCAAAAGGGGGGGTGTTTGGTCATTGGCGTAAACAGTCGTTTCCGAGGCCGAACGTGTACTCTTTTCCACGCCCCTTTTTGTTGATCGAAAGACCAATAATCATGCTCATCTTGATTGGATCCGGAGCCTGCGGCTTCTCGGACCTGATCTGTCGGCAGATGTTTCTGGGCTGTTCGAGCAAAGGGTGCGGCAGGAATCGCATCTCCTTCAGCTGCAGGTGGCTTTTCATCCCTCTTTTCTTTGGCCTTTCTTTCCTCCTCTAAGAGCTTGGCCTTTCGTTCGTCTTCCAGAAGCTTGGCGAAACGGTCGTGACATGCATCCGTGTGCTTCACGCCTTCTGCTATGCGATCACATCCTCTACAACCCATCGTCTTGCCAAATCTGATCGCCCTTTCTAAAGTTACGTATGTTCTACGCTTTCTCACTTCAGGGTCTGGATCCCCCTTTTCGAAAGGAAGGCTCTCACCAGGTTCGATCTTTGGCAGCGAAGGCTCTGGGCTTAAAGACGTGAGTTTCAAAGCATTGGCTTCGTAGAGCGGAAAGACAAAAGAATCAGGGGCCACTAACTCTTTTTCGTGAACTTGGATTGGTCTCCCACAACCTTTCTGGTTTGTTCGGAGGCTTTCATAATCAAGCACGAGGTGGATGCCCCTGAAACGGAAGCCATGATCGATGCGCCAACCACAGAAAATGCCCGGGAGCGTTCTGGGATCAAAAGGAGGAAGATCTTTGTGCTTTGCAGGTTTGTAGTACACCAAGGCGCCCAAAGGAACTTTAAGCCCTTCAAAAGCATCCCCCTTGTTAGCCACTGCATAGCAAGTCTTCCCCTTTTTGAAGGCTTCGGAATCTTCCGTTTCGTTCGGGTGAACAGGAGCCTCTGTCGTGAACGCTTTCGCCGCGCAAAAGTATTCTACCGAGCGAGGCCACAGGGCATGAGGAAATCCGGCTCTAAGGTGGACCGAACGTGTTCCTTCCTTTATGCTCCTAATGGCCCTTTCGAGCTTCGCATTGTGAAAAGCGTCGTTCGGAATACCCGGACTAGGTAACCACCCCAACTCCTTTACCGCGTCGGTCAACTCCGCGGCACAGTCGGACTTCACTTGGCAGAGGGCTTTGCCATGCGCTCCCGTCCCGCCGAAGTGCCGCAAACAGGCAACGTTCGACTGAGTCGTACGGCGCGTCTGTGGATAAGCACCTAAGCAACCACTAAACTCATCAAAGCAAATCAGACATGCCTGTTCACCTTCGGAACCCTCCGAAGGCTCATCATTTATAATGATGTGATCCGCGCGAAGCTTGTGTCCGAAATGCAAAGGAGGGGTCTCTTCAGGGTCCACCTCTCCATGATGATAGCTGTGGGATCTGGAGGTCATTTTTGCCCTCCTGCATATGTCACAATACCTGTTTTTCGGAAAGTGTGTGATTTGATGTTCCGGGGACTTAGCTATGGCCTGCAACTTTTCCCTTAAGGGAGGAGTCCACGGATAAGCCTCCGCATCTTCTTCGTCCAACGGCTCGTCTTCTGGGATCTTTTCGGGTGCAACGCAGTCTTCAAGCTCATCACCGTCTCCAAAATGGGCAACGGGAGCTCCTCTTGAAGATCCGTCTGAGCTTGCATCGGGGGGGCGAGTACCGCCTCTCCCTTTAGCGATTCTTCGTAACGCTACCGGCGCAGGATCACTTGAGGAACTGGCGGGCTCAAACGGTCCTGCGAAAGTCCCCGTGGTTTCTGCTTTTGCGGAAGCGGGCAAGCCTGAGCATGTTATTGATTCCTTCAGGATTGGGACGTTTTGCACAACCTTATCCGCATAGATCTTTGCGTTTTCGGGGCAGTGGAACGTAACGTCCTGAAGGCACTCAGGCTTGATGAAGAACGGCATTTGATCTGGAAACCAAATCCAAGCTCTTTTGTGCTCGTTTACTTGAATCCCCAGACTTAGCGCTGGTGGGCAGTCCTTAAGGGCATAAAACACGTTGTTTCCCGTGATTGACCCGTGTATCCTAATCGCATCGGATCCTGACCTAACCCCTCCACCTGTTGAAAACTTCAACTTTTCCGGCGCTGTCTCAAAAAATCCTTGAGCCTCTTCCGGCAAACTTGACTTTGAGATGAGGTTCCGGCCGGCACCTGAGTCAATCAAGTACTCCATGTCCGAAGTTTTCGGCACCAGGTCACCCAACAGCCCAGCACAAGCAGGAGGATTCGACAAAGGAGAGAAGCAAGAAGTTGCAGCCATCATTGTTGTGAAGAATCTGGTGAACGAAACACCCCTGGGGATGAACGTCCGCGCATTACGGAAAGCAGTAGACTTGCAACGCCCTTTAAGGTTGGCTCGTTTGGTTGGATTACCCCTGCGAGCCGGGGCAGCGGATGCCTCACGGCCTAGCGCACACATCCCATCATCGACCTTGCTGACTGGTGCGTTCGACGCATCACAATCAGAAAGTGAAAGTGTCTGGGCGGAAGACGTGGGCAAGGAGCCAATGGCAACGGCTGCACCTGCCATCACGGATGCTACACCGGCTGATGTGGTTTTGACTCCTCGGGGTCGCGGGCCATCATACAGTCGGTTCTTACCATGCAGGTATTCGCACTTGTCGCCTGCTTTGCAGCAGTTGTATGCGTAATACATGCACGGTAGCTGTGCCTTTTCCTCTTTTGTTTTCGGTGTTCTTGGGGATTTCCCTTTGCCCTTACCTTTCGGTGGCGCTGGTGATGCGGGTGTTTCCGCCTCTGCATTTGCTCGCGGTTCCTTCTGCTTCTTCTCCTCTTGCTTTCGTTTCTCTTTTTCTTTCTTCTCGCGTTGTTGTTTTTCTTTGTTTTTCTCTTTCTCCTTTTCCTTCTCCTTGTCCTTCTTTTCCTTCTCCTGCTGTGAGTCCTCTTGCTTCCTGGTGGGATTTGGGGCGGCATTGACTCTAGCATTACTTGAAAGCGCTTTATCGATGGCCATGGTGTTTTCGTCCAGTTGCGAAATCTCTATCACTTCACACATTTTCTGGTACAGCCACCTCCATGTTCTTTTACTGGAGTTTGCGCTGGAATTACGGTACCGATCAATGTGCAGTGACATCTTTGGGTGATTTTTCAACTGCTCATACATGAGACTGCGGATCCCAACATCCGTGGGGCGTTCATCGACCTCCAATGCCTCCAGTATGTAGTTGAACTTCTGGCGAAACTCATCAAGACCTTTAGCGTCACTCCCGGAGACGGTAAGCGACAACAAGTGATGCTGGGTAAGCGACGTGCCCCGATCTTTCTCCAATCGAAACTTTTGTAAAACCACCCACACTAAATGCCTGCCTTTGGTCTGCTTCCCCTTCTTCTGTGCACTTTCTTGGAGCGTCTGGAAATCCAGGGAGAACTTTGTGCCCTTAGCAAGCTCAAGCATGCGATGACCCAAGATTCGATCAAGGAGTGGGTAATCACCAGAATCCTCGAAGACTTCGGGATTTTCCGCCTTCAAACATCTCGACATCCATTCTAGGATCGGGGTCTCATCACCTTTCGCAAGCTTTGCAACGCTGCTGAACAGCTGATTTTTGAAACCCCTGGCTTCGGCGGCACCTTTCGGGAAATGCGAAACCTTGAAAGAGTTGTAATCCTTAACTCTCATAAGTTTCTTCTCCTTCTTATAGATAGCCTCAACCGAAACTATGCTGGAAGACGAACTCGAAGAGGAAGAATCCGAACCCTTCTCCCTTTTGTCCTTGTTTGACCCCTCGGCGCTTGAGCTAGAGGAAGAACTTGAAGGAGGATCCGAAGGAGGATCTAAACCCACTAATCCCTTTGCAGTACTCTTAAAGCACTTTTCTGATTGAGGGGGCGTAATCGCCGCGCCTCGGTTGGAGGGAGCGTTGCTGCCGGAGGGGGCGTTGCCGCCAACTCCTCCGGGACTTAAGGCTGCGATCGCGTTCATCATAGATGCGATTTGGGATGTTAGGGCATCGAGCTGGTGCTGCACATGAGGGTCAGTTTGAGGCCGTGGGGTATCGAGGGAAAAGACCACGGGTGAACCTTCAACGCCGAAATTACCCCCTCCAGCTATATAGTATATATAGTATATATAGTATATATAGTATATAAAGTATATATAGTATATATAGAACATATAGAATATTTAGTATATATAGTATATACAGTATATATATATAGTATATATTTATAGTATATATAGTATATATAGTATATATAGTATATATAGTATATATAGTATATATAGTATATATAGTATATAGAGTATATATAGTATATAGAGTATATATAGTTTAGATAGTATATATAGTGTATATATATATATAGAATATATATATATATATATATATATATATACTGAGTATACAAACAGTTAAAAAAGTATATATATATATATATATATATGTATATATATATATATATATAGTATATGTATAATATATATGTATATAATGTAATTAGTATTTGTATAGAGTATATATATATATATCATATATATATATATATATATATATATATAGTATTAATATAGTATATATATACTGTATGTATATATATATATATATATATATTTATAGAATACATATGCAATTTTTAAAAAGTATATATATATATTATATAGGCCATATATATATAGTTTATATATATTCATATATATATATAGAGAGAGAGAGAGAGTAGAAGAATAATGGGCTAAACTGGCCTGTTGTACTTTTGATGCCAGGTGGTCTCCTCGAGAAGCGGCAACGCTCCGAGGAGACTCTTCTAGGTAGACTCCCTCGTTCCATGAGTGCATGTGTTCATGAGCTTGTCTATCTGCTTCTCACATGTAACAGAAGTTGCCGTAGAGAGTAGGGCACGTCTGGCAGTGAACGTTTGCTAAACGAAAACCGTTTGGCTCAAGCACCCTTTAGCAGAGTAAAGCAAAAAGTCTCACTCGTGCGAGGGTTCATTACTGGATACCGTCTTTCTGATTTAATCCTTATTTCGATTGGTTATCAGCCGTATTGGCTTTATACCTTATTGTCTCTTGAGAGCGCGTTTACTTTTGCCACCGTTCAGCATCCAGACGATATACCGGAGTGGCTTTGGAGCAGCATCCCTTGGAAGCGGGGCGGCAGGAGAGGAGGGAGCCAACGCGTTACTTTCCTTCGTGATATTATTGCGGGTCGCCAGCCTTGGCCGGAGAACGTACCTCGGGTTGATCCTTCTTTGCAAACAGAGGAAGCTTCGGAGCCAGGCGCGCGTACAGAGGCCGAGGAGGGTGAACCGTCGTCGTCTTCGCACAGCCGCTTTGATCGTTCAAGGTCCCCTCAACTTGTTAGACCGCCTATTCCACCACAGCCTTTGAGACCTACTTTTGCAGCAGTGCCGGAGGAGATCAGATTCTTTCGTTTTTGCTCTACATCGGGTCTTTGGGAACAGCAATCGCGTGTGGAACGGTACGGGAGGCCAGCGGGTCAACATCTTTGCTTGGACTTTAACCAAGTCTTGAATCGCGGCCGCCGAGGGGTAATCCAGCAAGGTCATTCGTTGCCTTCGGAAAACCTGGATCTATTGGTGCGGATTGTGGCTGAGTTCCCAGGGGACTCGATTCTATTGTGTTCCCAGCTGGAGAATCCTTCATCACTTCGCGGTCTTTTGGATACATTGGGGTGTTCTCGTGGCGCAAACCATCTTTTGCCTTATATTGCTATCACACCGCGTAAAAGTTGGACCTCTTGGGAAGGCGCGCCTCTTGGCTACTCTGTCTAACTCTCGAGACTGGTTGCTGGTGGACGATCACGCCGATACTATCGACGAGCACGTTGGCTTGGGAGGATCAGGCATTCACACTGCTCTCCCCGGATGTTCCTGGTGTCAGGAGTCGGTAGTGTGGCAGCGCTGCTTCGCCGATTGTTTCGACTCCATTGCCGCGAGCAAACGAAACAATGACTTCCTTTGAGGATAGGTCTAGGTCTTCAAGGGGTAGCCCAAGGGTTTCCGAAAGTGACTCGTCGGGGCTCATGAACTCAGGATTGCCTGGAGTGGTGGTCGATCCAAGGGTTAGTGAAGCGGTAACGCTCCTAAACCACGGTTCTGGCCAACCTGATTCCCCTCAGCACCTTAGTAGCTTTCTGGGGTGGCATGCAGACTGATACGTCTCAAGGGGGATCCCCAAACATACGGAGTCACGAAGCCCATTTGCATCAGCATCAAACGGTTCAATCAAGAGACCAATCTTTGCACCTTCACCAAACAAATGCCCTCAATCAAGATGTTCGGATTCAGCAGAATGTCGTGCAGGTAACCAATGATCCTGAAGTACAGGCGCAGGCAATTGCAGTGGTTCAGCAAGCCGCATACGAAGTCGACATGGCTAGAAGGCAGGCCGTAGAGGTTGCAACCCGAGCTAACCAAGAGCTCGTAGCCCACAACATCCAAACCCGAGAAGCGCTCACCCAAGCTGAAAGGCAGGTGGTGCAAGCTAGGTTTGTAGCCGAGCAAGAGGTTATTCAGGCTAGGCAAGCAACCATGGAGGCCCAAGCCGCGCAGCACAGAAGCCAACAGCTGTTGACCATAGCCAAAGCCGATTTCGATAGGATGCAAGAGCAGATGAATGGCCTTCAGGATTTGGTTCAGCAGCAGAGGGAAGTGATTCAACAGCTGCAAAGCCAGAGAGTAGAGACCAAACAACCAAGTAATGGCGCGGAACACCCGGTGATGCAGCAATGCACCCGGGATACTGCATCGGGCAGTGCGATGCCTCCGGGCATCCATGAGAATGTGGGTTCAGTCCCGAAAATGGTCGTTTACAAACCCCCATTCTCGAGCCGAAAAGCGGGGTTACTATATATACTATATATACTATATATACTATATATACTACAAATACTATACTATACTATATATACTATATATACTATATATACTATATATACTATATATACTATATATACTATATATGTACTATATATATATATATATACTACATATACTACATATACTATATATACTATATATACTATATATACTATATATATATATATATATTATATATACTATATATACTATATATACTATATATACTCTATACTCTATATACTCTATACTCTATATACTCTATATACTCTATATACTCTATATATTCTATTTACTCTATTTATTATATATACTACATATACTATATATACTATATATACTACATATATTTTATATACTATATATACTATATATACTATATATACTATATATACTACTATATATACTATATATACTATATATACTATATATACTATATATGTACTATATATATACTACATATACTATATATACTATATATACTATATATACTATATATACTATATATACTATATATACTATATATACTTTATATACTATATATACTATATATACCATATATATATACTATATATACTATATATATACTATATATACTGTATATACTATATATACTATATATACTATATATACTATATTTACTATATATACTATATACACTAGATATACTATATAGACTATATATACTATATACACTATGTATACTATATATACTATATATACTATATATACTATACATACTATATATACTATATTTCCTGTATATACTGTATATACTGTATGTAGCAGATAATGTATACTACTATATTAATATTATATTATGATGGAACGTCGAATACAATCCGTATGTCTTGACACATACTATATGCTATAACACATAACGTAAAATTGCAGATGTCGTATCAAAAAAATATAAAAAACTGTTATGAATGTAAAATAACCGAATATTGATTGTACAAAATACTGCAGTAAGTAAGACGAAACATATAACATGAAATGTTTTGGAAAAACTCTACAATAAACACTCCTTGGAAGGCTTCCTTGGAAACTTTTTGCCTTGATCAAGACTTGGAGTTGTGCTTGAAGTTGTGGCAAAGCCAAGACAAGAGCCTGGAGAAAACCGTTCAACAATTTGGAGTTGAAATGGTGACCACAGTCCACCAGAAAGTTTCCAGATTTGGTTGCAACTGACATCTAAAGAAGATAAGAAGCACACGCCAGACGGATCGAAGTTGGCAAACGCCTGGTGTTTGTGCAGAGGGGACACGCACAAGTCGGTGTGCGTATCGAGAGGGTTCGAGTCCATGCGCACTTGCATGCAGTGGATCCTGAAGTCCACTGCCAGCAACCTGGCTTGTTGCTTTTTTTGTGAAGACACAGCACTCAGAAGAGTCCCCTGCAACTGGACCAAAACCCTGGCAGCACTCTTACAACTTTGCGGTTTCGTGGTCGAAAAGATGTAGAAACCTGATCCGCAAAAGAGTAACACTCAGAAACCATGTTCAAAGACGCGGAAGGCGAACTCCAATCCCGCAAAGTCAGAAAACCTCTCTTCGAGGCAAGGACACGGAAGTGGGCATTTAGTGTCTTCAACAAGGACAGAAGCCAGAGTTCCCAATTGGGGGAACAGGTCACAACAGAGGCGCAGTAAGCTTGTGAAGCTTGGCGAAGTTCATGCATGGAGTTGATTTGTGTGACTTTCATTGAGCATAGGTTTTTGCAGTGTTCCGGAACCCTGGGTTCGAACACTTGGGAGGGCCCGGGGGGCGGGGGCGGAGAACATAACACTAGAACTTAGGGTTGAACTCCGGGTTCGAACACAGTGTTCAAACTCCGAGTTCGAACACTGGTGTTCAAACCCGGAGTTCAAACACTGGTATTCGAACCCCAGGTTCGAACACCAGTGTTCGAACCTCGAGTTCAAACACTGGTGTTCGAACCCGGAGTTTAAACACTGGTGTTGGAAATTCAGGTTCGAACACCAGTGCTCGAACCTCGAGTTCGAACACCGGGTTCGAGCACTGGTCTAGAAAACGCTTTTACGAACACAAAAGAAGAATAGCCACACAAAATCGCTTTATTGGGGCTTTTTACGAAGAAAAC